GTCTCATATTAATTGTGTAAGCAACTAGTGTGAGATTTATAAAGCCATGGGCATGCTCAAATGTCTCTCCCTTTTCCATCCTATATCAGCAAAATCACCTCCAAATTTCCGAGAACTCACCAAATCGTGTGACAAAAGGTGCTCTCCATCATCAATCTCTAATTTTTCATTGGATGTGTGATTGATTTCGATGAGTATTTGGATGAAATTCCCAAAATCCTAACGTTAACCCTAATATAATTTCATTGGTTGTTTTCTTTTGGATTTGTGGTTTTGTTCAAAAAATTTATGCATTTTGGTTTGTTTTTGCAGCTTTGTATTGGTTTTTAATAGCTTATAGACAATCATCTAAGAGACCCGCTTCAAAGAGGCGTATAAAGAATTGCCACGATGGCTCGTTGTTTAAGTCGGTTGATCTTGACCCAATGGACATGCGATATGGGTATTTGTTCGAAAATGATTAGTACGAGAATGCTCGTTTCGTATAGGAGTATCTTCCGTGAAGCATAGTGGAGTTGATGTCTTTCGATTCGTTATTTTTCATGGTGGATGGGTTCGACATTGTTCATGTTATTGACTAAGCGCACCTGAGAGTACTTGTAGAGATGTTAGCCCTTATTAAAAGATCACAGTGAAGACCTTCCATCAAAATTTTCCTACTTTGACGTAGAATCATGTCAGGCATTGATATTCTAGTGACTTCTAAGATGTAGATGATAGGAAACGTCATGCTACCATCGACAATTATAGGCATGCTTGACATTGTGTTTGAGTAGCTAGGACTAGGAGCACCACTTATGATGGGAAGCGTTATGCTACTCCAGTAAATGAAAATCAACCATTGGTCAAATAAGAGTAAATTAGTATATAATTTTAAAAAGGAGCAAATTAATACATAGTTTTTCTTTTGGTACCAATTAATATATAGTTTTAAAAGGAGGCAAAATGGGTGTTTGGATGGATTTAGAAAAAAAAACTTATTTTTCAAAAATTAAAGCCTTTTGGACCATTTTATGCGTTCGGATAGCAATTTCTTAAAAAAGCAAAATTAAAAAAAAAAGTAATTTTTTTAGAAGTCAAGATTTCTTGCTTTTAAAAAATATAGAAGTTAAAAGTTAAATAATTTTTAAAAAATTAATTTTATCTCAACCTCACTCCAACAAATCTACCCTATTACCATCACTATCATCACATATATTTTTTAGTAATTTTATATACAAAAAGTACTTATTGATTTTATCATCCAAATACTTTTTTTATTTAAAAATGTTTTTCTATTCCATTTAAACATAATATAACTTTAACTTCAAAAACTTATTCTTAAAAAAAAGTCATAAATATTTTATTTTTAAAAAAAGTCTATCCAAATAAGCTCAAAGTAGTAAATTTTTTTAGAAAAACGAGGAAAAAATAATTAGTCAGCTGATTAATTGTTAAGGCTCAGCCAAGTGTCACCGACAAAACCTAATTTAGTTTTCCACACTCTAATGGTCGAAGATATTTTCTAACAATTTATAGTTTGAGAAGTCTGGATGAAATGAATCGGCATAGTCTTTCTCATTTGGGGTCTACCCCTCAAATAATTACCTTGAAAAATGTTGGACAAAGCACTTTCACAAGCATGATGTTACCACAAGGCAAGAACTTGAGTATGCAACTTCTTGTTATGGTAGCTGCAAAAGCATATTTGTGTTTTAGCTGGAATTATGTGTTCTGGTTATACAGAGCTTTGCACTAAAACTTGCAAAGATTAACCATGATTTACGGGTTGCACGTTTAAAATACGGATAAATTTTGAGTGCAACCAGTATACTCACGTCAGTATAACCGGTCATTTATTTTATGACACATAGATAAAAAATATAACATCGATTAGATGATATAATATTTTTTATTCATATATTACAAAATAAATAACCAGTTGCATTGAATCTTGAGTGCAACAATTGCACTCAAAATTTATTCATAAAATACCATATTTCGATTCAGATTATTTGTTAAAATGCCCGAGTCACACCTTAATGTGAACGAGTACCATTTCTTCTTTAATGATGGATTGAGATAATAATATATAATTTTCGTTGAAAAACCCATCTCTCATTTAAACACTCTCCATTAAGTCTTTCATAAAAAAAATGAAGAATCAGCTCCACAATCTACGTTAACCAATATTTATAAATCACACAAGCATGAAATGATTTGAGCATAGGACGAGAATCTAATTAAACAAACAATTTCTTCTGGATTTTGAAGATGAAGATTGTGATTTCCTAGCGTTATTGCCTTATTGGGTATAGAAAGTTTTGGTCAGTTAAAGCAATGATATTAAAATGTAATGAGTGTTAAATGGTTTGACATACATATTCCACTCCATGACGGAAATTTATCAGGGGCCGGATGGAAATTTCACCGTGTCTAAGTGAAGGTGCTACCTAGTCCTAGTCGCCAATGATGACTTTTGGACCCAATTTGCTCTGAATTCATAATTCAGAGCGTTATGAATTCTAAATTGTACTGGTGGTGGCCTTCATTCCCAGTCATTTCTGTGGGGGAAATGGAAACACGCTAAGATTATTTACCTAAACGAAACGCATGATGTAAGCACGTTCGAATACTGTTTTTAAAAATAATTTTTTAATTTTTAAAATAAAAATACAAAAAAACTCATTTGATAAAATTTGTTTTGTAAAATAGTTTTAAGAATAAAAAAAGAGAAAAATGTTTGTCATTTTAAATGATATAAAGTTATGTCATTTTAAAACAAAATAATTTTTTTATTTAAAATTTAAATTAAAAAAAAAATCACTCATTTTCTCTCTCCTATGATTTTTATTTTTTGTGTCTATCTCTCAACTAAAACGACATGACTTATGTCGTTTAAAATGACAAACACCAAATCCAAAAAAAAAATCAAACAGACCCTACACTTTTTATTTTTGACTCAACCTTGACCTCCATTCAGGAAGCCTAGGTTCCATGTGGACTAATGTGCTATGCAGTGATTTTGAGTTGCAGCAAGAAGAGTGTTTGACAAACTGAAGCAAACATAAGACAATATGAAAATGTTAAAAATAAAATAAAAATACCACTCTACCTGAAGAATAAAGGAGACTAATAAAGCAATGTAATTGCAAACTGATTTCCTTATTTCCTGTATTATAACTCGTTTGATAAACTATTTAAAAATCTTAATTTATTAATCCAAACACATACTTAATTTATTAATTCAAGTTTTACATGAGGAATACACTTCCATAAAAATCTTATTTACAAAGCTATATGAATGAATTATATTCAAACCCATTTTTTTAAAACATATGCTATCGTGATGCTTTTATAAAAAAAACTTAGGTTGTGTTTTGCAAGTACGAGAAACTGAAAGTTATTAATGACTAACATTTTTTAAATCATGATACAAGAGTTTATAGACGGAAAAGCAAATTGAATCCTCTATATAAAACCATTCCATGGTTGCAATATTAAAAAAATAAAAAATCTGAATATATTTTGGAGAATTAATTTTCTTATGTGAAAGGGCAGTTCGAACTCATTAGTCAATTTACTGAGCATTGTTCTTTAATTACTATGTCAACCCTTTGAATTGGAATTTTTTTTTTTTCAAAAATAAGAAAATGCAAAGCTTTGCTGAGAAGAAAAATTAAAAACAGCCTCATAGCAAAATAAATAAATAGATAAAGAGGAAGCATCCTTTTCTATGTGTAGAGTTTTGGACAAGGCCCAATAGAATAGAAGTCACATTGGGTCACATCGAGGACTTCAACTCACATATAAAGGAAAGCTCACTTGATCATTGGACCAGCCGGTTTACCCTGTATGGTCGTTTAGAATTCTGTTCAAAACCGAAAGAGGAAAATGGACAACACGTGCACTCTTTTTTTCATTGTTATTAGAGAGAACGGTTATATTTATAAATGGAAAAGTATTTATCATTTTAAATGATATAAAATTAGGTTTGCAGATAAGTTATCTGTAGTAAGCCCAATACGACGTCATTTTGCAGCGAAAATCATGGTATTTTTGTAATTTTAATTTATTTCAGGTTATTATAGTTTTATAATTATAATTTTTAAATGTTCAATCTCAAAACGACGTCGTTTTGGGAGTAAATACAGACAACTTATCTGCAGTAACTGTAAAAATATTTTTCTGTATAAAATTATGTCATTTTAAGAGAAAGATAAACACGAAATAATATTTTTAATTTAAAATTTAAATTAAAAAAAAATCACTCACTTTCTCCCTCGTGATTTTCATTCCTGATGCCTATCTCTCTCCTAAAATGACATAATTTATGTCCTTTAAAAAGACAAAAATCAAACCCTAAATAAATTTTTGGTCTACAAACTATACTATGTACTGTGGATAATATATACTACTTGAACATGTACTACCCATATAATTTGTAAAAGTTTGTAAACTAAATATAACTTAACCCATTATTAAAAGCATGGGCAATATTTATTAGAAAATTGTACATCACATGTGCAATCTAATCTCAATCGTGGAATGTTGTCTTTTTAGCACAAATATAGGAAGCACGGGACCTAAGGAGGGCAAGCCCAATTTTAGTAACTCAAGTTGCAAAATTCAGTTATTTTTGACAGTTAGAGAAACAAGTGGCTTTCAATTTTTAGCAAATATGCATGCATATCCAAGTCATGTATCATAACCAGAAACCTTGTCATTGAAAGGATCATTCTATATTTAGTATTTACAGTGACCAAAACCACAAGAAAAAGAAACAATCACTCCCCAAAATCACGTTAAATCACCAATGACAACCACAAAAAACACACACCCTCTATTTTCTAAACTCTCCCCCAGGTAATTAAATCAACAACCTACCCACCTTCTTCATCTATATACCACTTTTCCCCCTCCTCAGCCAAGGAAGGGCAGGGAAAACGGCAATTTAAGTGCCCCATTTTCTCTTTCTCTCTTCATTCCAATCAACAAAACCTTTTGCCCATCTAAAATTAATGGCCTCAAAGGGATGGCTTGTTTTCTTCCTCGTAGCCTTCTTGGCCTTGGCCATGGTGGCTGAAGCAACAACAATCCATGAGTTTGGACGAATGGTCACTGCTGGTGATGTTGATCTCATTGTAGATGACAATGAGTTTTTGATGGTTTCTGAATCAAACCATCGACAACTTTATGGGCGCAAAAGGTACATTAGCTATGGAGCCCTTAGGGCAAACCAAACACCCTGTCGTAGGCGTGGACGCTCCTACTACAATTGCAGGCAGAGGGGTAGGGCCAACCCTTACCGTCGTGGTTGCACTGCCATAACACATTGTGCCAGACAAACTGATTAAATCAACAAACAATAAGGAGAAGAGGAACATGCTACAAGTGACTTGTTCTTTTATCTTCATATTCATCAATATTGGGATTCTTTAATAACATAATTCAAATTGCCAAAATTTCCTCCATTCAAACAATATACTTTTAAAAAAAATAAAGTCATCTTATTTATCTCTTTGGGGTGTATGTTGTCTTAATTTATTACGATTATTGTGCGAAATACTAATGTAAGAAGGTTGGAGCAACCTGGTCTGTATCTCTATTGTTCTATGTTAAATGTATGTGGTTCTTTCTCTTCTTCTCATTATTATGTATATGGAGGAAATAGAAAATATGAAGTGATTAATTTAATTGTTATGTGAACTTTCCCAATGTTTCTTTTATTTCCTGATATAAACTCCTCTTAACTTTGTTTTTTCTCTTTTTTTCATTCCACGTATCAAAAGTTCTCCGCGGTAAGGGTTAGTTTTGAACTATATTGCTAGAATAATTTATTTAATTTTTACATTATCCTCCAATTATGTATAATATCGGGTGGGATCTGCGGCATTTCTTAAAAAAATAATATTAATTGTATTGGGGATAGGGTGAGGAACTCAATGCCCCCACTAGAAAATACTTCTCCTGTTCTCCAGGCATACCAAACTAAAAAAATGCCCAATTAAAAACACCCAATTAGTCAAAGAGTCAAGTCTTCACAACTCATGTCTGACTTTGAGATGCTACATGGTTAAGACTTAGTCGGAAGGTTGTTCCTTTCATTCTGCTATTTGGTTATTTGGTTTAGTGAGGCGGTGATCTTCGGAACTATTAAAGTAACTTTGCAAGATGGCACAGACGTGCATCCTACGTATTTCTTACTAATTAATGATGCTTTTGGGTTTGATCCTATTATGGGTCTTTGCCTTAATTAGGTGGGCTTCAAGTATCTTTTTGGGGCCGGCATTGTAGGTCTGGATCATTAATTTTGCATTTAGCGGCTTATATATATAATAAATAATTAAAGATAACGAAATATAAATAAAACTAAAAATTAAGATTAAGATTGAGAATATTACTTTCAGATACAAAATATTCATATCCCAATATATATTTTCCGTCTTTTAAGTTTCTGGATATGGTGCTATCATAACAGCCTCTCACTCATGCTTGCTCCTTTGTAATGAGTCCCTTTTTCTTTTTTCTTTTTTAAGTTAATTCAACTCTAATTATTTTTTGAGGCAAGTTGACTCTTTCTGGTATTCTCAAGAGTTTCGACTCTATGAGCCAGCTATGTCACGAATTCAGAATGCAGAGCACGAATCAGAGATAAAAATATTTAAATCACTCCCAAATGTGACATGTGAGCCACCACGATTTCTCTGCCTTATGTTATGTAATTGGCCAGATTAGTTAATGGGTTTATCATCTATCATTTAACATGACCACAAAAATTTTCCTACACACACACCATTTTGTGGGGCCCGCAGCAAAAAAAAAAAAACTTCGGCACGCAAAACGAATCTCTATAACATAACACAATCACTTTTCCTACAACATAACTCTTATAAAACCCTTAGTTAATAGTTAGTATGTTCATAATCTCTGCTTCAATGTTTTTGTCTATGTTATTTAAAGAATTATATTTTGGTAAGCAACTTAAATATTTGAATTCTTTACGTTCTTGTGCCAGAGATGGTGTTTAATGTCATTTTATTTTTACTACACCCGCCATAATTAATAGTTGTTCTTTCTTAAAAAACGCCTATGTATGTTTCTTAAGCCTTTGTCGAATTGTTAGGATGCTCATGGAAACTACAAAGCACTGATACCGACACGGCGTCTTCGATATGTTTCTGATATGAGTGTCTGATACGTTACTTCAAAAATAATAATATTTTGATATGTTCCGATAAGTCTTAGTATTAAATAATATTTTTAATACAAAGTATATTACACACTAACAAAATATAATAAAAGAAAAATCATAACCACAAACAATAGATTATAAATACAAAATTGATAAATACCTCAACTATTGTAAATCATAAGAATAAAAAATACAAATTGCTTCAAACAGAAGGAAAAAATGATTTTTTTCAATTTTCATAGTCGTACAGAAGCAAAATGCCAAAAACGACTAGTACTTGGTTATGAGATATAAAAATACAAATTTATGTAAAAATAATTTACATAATACAAAATAAAAATAAAAATGATATGAAATTAAAAAAAAAAGAACAATTCATTTCAGACTTCAGAGGGAGCATGAATAGCGACCGACAGCAAAGGAGAAAGAAAGAACAAAGATGAACGAAATGGTGGAGGAGGAACACGAACCGACAGCAAATGAGGAAGAAAGAACGACAGCAAATGAAACGGTGGAGGAGGAACAAAAGAACGACGATGGCGAACCAACAGTGGAGGAGGAGGAAGAACGACGGCAAACCAAACAGTGGAGGTGAGTGGAACTTTAAGTGAGCTCTCAAATTCGATCGATTTAGGATATTTTTGGGCAAAAAAATACCCTTCATTTTTTAAAAAATTTACAAAAGTGTCGTTTGACCGTTTTGACCATCTGATACGCCAAAATGAGTACCCGAAACATATTCATATCGGACGTGTGTCCGATACATTGCAATTTATTTTTCACGTATTTGTGCTTCATAGCGTGGAAATGTCTCTCATATTATAAGAGATAATTTTATCTTTTATACACACATAAAAATATGTGGGACACACAATAGAAGAGAAAAAAATAGGCCCCACATACTTTTATGCGGGTATAGGAGATAAAATTATCTCCTACTATAATATGAGAAATATTAATCTATATATACATATATGTATATATATATATATATATATAGTTCATTTTTTCTGCAGTCAATGCAAATAAGTTATCTGCATTGAACCCAAAACGACGTTATTTTGGGACGAAAATCAAGGTTTTTTTTATAATTTTAATTTATTTCAACATTATTATAGTCTTTATCATTATAATTTTTTTATCTTTCAATCGAAAACGAAATGATATCGTTTTGAGAGTGAATGTAGATAACTTATATGCATTCACTGTAGAAACATTAAAGTCATATATATATATATGGGAAATTTGGGTGTCCTGTCACTGGAAATAAAGTTTTGTCCAGTTACCGCATTATAACGATATACTCCCGGAATACATAGTTATAATGTTAAAGTTGTACTTTTTTTTCTCTCTTCATAAACTTGTCTATTAACGTGGAAAATGAAAAAAAAAAGTATAACTTTAACATTATAATTATGTATTTCTCCTAATATATAGTTATAATGTTGTGTCTGGACAAAACTTTATATCTAGTGACTTGACACCAGATTGACCCTATATATATAGGGTTTAATATTTCTCAAGTTATAGGATGTGAAGAAAAGAGAAATAAAAAGAAAACATGGGACCCACACACTTTTATATTTGTATAGAATATAAAACCATCTCCTACAACTTGAGAAATACTAATCATATATATATGTGTGTGCGTGTGTGTGTGGCAAAATGATTTGTAACGTGACTGCATATAAGCATTGATGCAGTCACCTAAAAATTACGTTATTTTTTGTAGGATAAAGGAAGTTCGCGTTCAAAATTATTTGTAGAAAATGAAAATATTATATTTATTTCTATCTTTGTATGATTATGATTCTCCATATTTAATGCTATATATTTATTTTTATTTTTATATGATTATAATTTCCCATATTTAATGCTTTCACACTATAAAACGACATAATTTTATATGACTGAACCAATCCTTAGGTGCAGTCACTGTACCAATCCTTAGGTGCTATCGTAGTATCAATCCTTAGGTGCAATCACTGTCCATCCGCTAAACCCTATATATATATATATATATATATATATATATATATATATATATATATATATATATATGGTTAGAATTATTTTACACTAGTGTAAGTTACACTTTCAATCTTGATCGTTGATCTTATTTATATTTAACGATTTTGATTTATTGAATATTTGATCCATTGAATGCAAGCAAATTGATGATCAAAATTTGGTATAAGAATAAGAAGTCTTTCACTCAATTTTGATCATTGATCCACTTGTATCCAATGGCTGACGTTACTAAAAAATTAGAACTGTTAGATTTAAGTCGGATCAACGGTCAAGATTAAAAATGTAACTTACACTGGTATAAAATGATTCGGACCCTATATATATATAGAGTAAGTTATATTTACAAACATTTATTTACAAATATTTACAAACTACACTATGTACTACAGGTAATATATATACCATCCATAGTACATAGTATAGTTTATAAGAGTTTATAATCAAAAAATTTATAAATATAACCGTGTTATATATATATATATATATATATATATATATATATATATATATATATATATATATATATAATGAGGAGTTGCTTGCCGAACGCATGTGCCTCCATTGGGCCAGATACCGGTTTTGGTCTAAGTTTACATTCATGCGAATTCATTAATTTTAGTTTCACCAAAAATGTTACACATTGAAATCTTTACATAATTTTGACACTTATTTGAAAAATCAACAAAATGAGAGTATGTGTTTGAATACATATTTTTATGTTTTAGTATTTTCAAAATATTATGTAAAAATAACTAATCTGATATTAGAACAATAGAACTTCTACTATGAACTTCTACTATTCGGGTATTCAAAATTTGATGATTGCCACCCTATTCTTCTAAAGAAAAAAAAGGTTTACATTTGTCATTTAACATGACACAACAAACTTTTCTACACACACGACATTTTGTGGGACCCACACTTTTTGAAGAAAAAAAAAATTACGGCACGCAAAACGAATCTCTATAACATTACACAATCACTTTTCCTACAACATAACTCTTATAAAACCCTAAAAAAAGTTATCCACTTTTGTTCGTTATTTCGTCTATTTCGGCCGCAATGAATTGCGAAACCACCAATATCGCCGGTTCCTCCAAACACACTTTTGGCTTTCAACTATTAACATTTGTAAAATTCTACAAAGATCAATTACAAGCATTTAACGTAAATTCAATTTACTTGTTTTTTTGTTTTTGGATAAATCATAGATATTTTCCACAGCGTCCCTCGCAAAAATGATACTAGCTAATATCGAATACATACTCTCACTTCAACTACTCAGCTCTCCTACACCAATGATACTAGCTAATATCGAATACACACTCTCACTTCAACTACTCAGCTCTCCTGCACCAGAGTTACCTTCATCTGCTAATTTAATTTACTTGTTAAGCATCGCCCTTCGCGTGCATATTTATCTATCTCAAAGGATTGCTCACTTACGAGAGAGAGAAATCGTATTTACACGCACTATATGTCAGCTAAAAAAAAAAAATTTGATGGACCAGAAGCGCTGGCTCTTATGATTCAAAGGTAGCGAAGATATAGTCAAAGATGTCATGCTTGGATTTTTGTCATCACGCAATAAGATCCATGGGCTTATGAAGGATGATCATCAATAATACATCAAATCAAAACAAGCCACATGTGAAATGTTTTATATTTTTCCCAGAAATGATTGCGAAATGGAAAAGAATAGAAGGTGACCTTGATAACGGGTAAGCAAAACGCAACAAGGGTGTCCAAACAGTGCACATGTTAAGTTTCAAACTCCCAATAAATGCACCACCAACCATGAGTAGCAAAGTCTACAAAAATCATATATACAACACACACAAACATACAACAAGCACAAAGAGGTCATCTCAACACCATGTTTTCTAGCTCTCCCGTTCCCGTCACTACCTCCCATCTTTTCTTTCCTTTCATCATCACAAGTCCCACTTCCTCTCCCTTCCTTCACTTTCTATGTCCCCATTCACTTCAATTCTGGTCTCCTTCGAGTCAAAAAGGAAAATTAAAAATACTAAGCCGGAGAAAGATGGACTATCATTGCATGATTGCTTAACTTTATATTCAAATCAAGACCCTTACTCAAAAGAAACGGTGTCCCTACAACCAAGGAAAAAAAAAACTTTAATGGCTCAAATTGTACTTCTCCGTTCACCCCATGAATGGATTTATTGCTCTCACCTAAACGTCATCAAGCTTAGTTTGACTTCTTACATAACGGCAATTTTCAAAATTTATGGAAAGGATATGAACTATCACATTGTATAATCTAAATTCTCATTAAAAAGATTTTCCATAACAACTATAACACGTTAAGAAACAACCTTAAAGTTATTCAACAAGGGTGAATTTTATTTTATTTTTTCATATTTCGATTATTTTCAGTGTAAACCTACATAGTGGATATATCTTGATGGTGTAATGTAGTGATTTGGCACACTAGCACAAAGTTGTACATCAAAGCGGTGGATGCTTACAACACAAGCACATAGAATGCCTGCCTTGAGTGCCTTCATCTCATCTTTGGGCATATTTTTCCGTCACTCAGAAAGGCAACGAAAGGGTCAAAGATTCCTTCCCTATTCTTCTACTCTTTGACAGCTAGCCCGACACTTTTTTTTTTTTCTTCTCTCTCCCCACTTGTTATAAAGTTTAGTTTATTAGTATGACTAATTAATTAATTATGAATGTCCTCGAGCTGAAGAAACTGAATCAGGTCACCAAATTCAATAGTGGCATTAAATGAATGATTTGACTGTAGTTAATGAATTAAAATCCCCTGAAATCCACAGTGGAACTACGCAAAAAACAAGAGGGAAAATTTTTATTTCCTCTCCTTCATTTCCCATAGATCCCAATAATACCCTCCTTAATAATAATATAATAATAACAAATAAATATATTTTTCTTTGTGTCGTAAGAAAAAATTATCTTATATTATAAAAATAAAAATATAAACGAGACTCACAGAACAAATGGTAAAACCCAATCTTTTTTTTTTTTTTTTGATAACAAAACCCAATCCTTTTTACGTGTAGGAAAAAAATTATTTATCTCGTGTATGTGATAAACATAACCCAATAACAAATGATAAAATTTAAAGGTGTCTTAAGTTAATCAAAAATCGCATTTTCGAATTTAACTTTTTTTATTTTGACCACAAATTCAACGATTAGAGAAACAAAGAAGCAGATTTTTCTGCTCGCTCTCGCTTAATTAAATTGGTAGCGAACGAACGAGGAAAGAAGAAGAAGACGAACAGAGCATAATTTTAAATACAATTGAAGCAAGATTATTCCATTCTCTTCATAACCCATTACAAATTTTTCCCTATTATCCGCAACAATGACAATAACATATAAATATATATATATATATATATATATATATATATATATATATATATAATAATCTTACACAAAATCCAAAAAGACGGTAACCAAAAAAAAATAAAAATAAAAATAAAAAATCATTCAAGATGCAGAAGAAGGACCTGAAGCTCTGGGAGATGTAGTAGGAAACAGAGGAAGCAAACGGGGTTCAGCATCCCTCGGAGTTGAAGCCGGTGAAGGGTGCAAGAAAAACCCTTTCTCTTTTATAGCTTTTTCTTCTGCCTCTGCATCCAAAGAAGGGCTTCTAACGAACCCGGGTGTGGCGGATCGGTCAAACGGGTCGGGTATGAGGGGCGTGACGGGGCTGAGGACGAGGGAAGGGAAGTCAAGGATGCTTGGGGAGAGGATCTCGGGTTTTCGGGGCGAGAACCCAGAATTGTTAGATGATGAGGAGAAAACGGGGATCAAAGGGTTGATGTTGAGGTTCTTGAGGGAGTTTCTGCGTTCGTAGAGCTTGAACCCGGATTGCTGCTGCTGATGCTGCTGCTGCTTCTTGGGTATGGATTTGATGGGTGGGATGTTATGGGTCGGGTTGGTGGGTTTGGAGCATGAGGCTTGTTTTGCAGTCTCGGAGGATCCGGTGAGCATTTGGACTACTTGCTTGAAGGAGGATGTGTCCGCTTGGACGAAGGTGGTCGGGTACGGGTTGGCGGGTTCGGATCTGGTGATGGGTTTTGGAGGCTGAGGGTGGAGGAGTCCATTGGTGTTTGAGGTGTGAAGAATAAGCGATTGTTTGTGATTATTCTCTTGGTATCTTGGGGACATGGAGTCCATGAGTGATGAGTTAAAGAGAGAAACAGAAAAGAAAAAAAAAAAAAATAAGAAGAAAGTGAGGAGTGTGTTTGTGTGTGTGTTTTAGAATAGAGTAGTAGATGAGATGAGATAAGACTTTTGTTACTTTGTATTGTTTTGTTTTGTTTTGTTTTGGTAAGAAATGTTCTCGTAGGGACCTTTAATTCTTCTCCTCATCGAAACATGTTCATGCTATCCCTACGCGCCATGTATGTCGTGTGTTGTCTCTGTATCTAGACAGATTCTTACACTCAATTTATTAAAAATACACAATGTCAACACTATGAATATTTTTTACTTTTCATGAGATAATACCAAAGAAGAAAAATAATAATTCCTTTGCTTTTTCTTATTATTTCATTTCATTTTTATAATATTCCTTTCCTTTCCTTTCTTTTCTCAAATTCTTATCAAACAAATCCAAAGCCTTAGATTATGTTAAAATATCTTCTGTATTTGTTGCTAATGGAATGTTAGTTAGTGATGGATTCGGACAAACAAGGAAAAGTAAATATATTATAATCAAATTGCTAATATCTTCTGTATACGATTTATTCAAGATATATATGATATGTTTAATTAGTTAATAGAATTAAGTTTTTTACATTCAATATAATTTTATTTTTCCACTCAACGTCATTATAATAATTTTTCCAAAAAAATTATCAGCCTTCTAGAATGAAGGATTGACTACATTATTTTTCAACAACAATAACAGTTGGCTAATGGCTGGGCTATATTATTCCATTTCAAAATTTCAATCATTTAATATTTGTACTTAAATATTAAAAAATTTATTAAATATTAGTAATTTTAAAAAAGTAATTATATTTCACTAAATTTATTTCTGATTTCATTAATATTCTCTTTTATTTTACTTAGTAAAGATATCTAAAGATAAGGATAAAATTTAAAAAATATTTCATGTTTTACTAAATTTTAAAGTGCTGAATAAAATAAGGTATATGGATTATTTCATGATATTATATGATCAATTAAATAATAGAATTAAGTTTAATTTTTGCAATCAACAGAATGCAATTTTTCCACTCAATGTCTTGATACTAATTATTCCGATAAACTATCCTTCTAGAATGAGGGACTAGCAACATTTTTAATTTATTTTTTCAACAACAACAGTTGGCAAATGGCTAGGTTATACTTCTTCAATTCTAAAATATCAGTTATTTAAGACTTTATGTCAGTATTGATAAAAAAAAAATATAGTTGTCTTTGACCAAATTTATTTGATTAATATTTTATCTTATTTTACTTAATGGAGATACTAGGAAGTAACGATAAAATTTTAAAAATAAATACTATTTTTTAATTTTTAAAACAATAAAAATATTTTTTCAAATTACAAATATTTTACAAGGAAAGGAGCAATTGAAAAAAAAAGGAGAAAGAAATAATTTTATTCTATGACGTAATATTTTTATTTATTTATTTTGGGGTAGGGGGGTGGTGTTCAATTGCAAACATAGAGGAAGAAAAAATGGGTACACATGCCCCCTGAATTTGTAAAATGTTTTCATCATCATCACCTTCGTAACTTATCATTTTAGCCTTTGTTACCTTTCAATGATTGTTTCTATTGCGTGAATGAGTAAATAAAATTCATTATACATATAAAGAGATATATTATTACTTTTTTTTTTTATCTCATTGTCTTTGCCCCATCACCCAAAATTTCTGAACACAAAAGCCACAATTATAGGCCATTCGAGAAAAAAAAAACCTTTTAAAAAAAAATTCTAAAAAAACTGTATAGGATGATTTTTGAATGTTTAACAGTTAAAATTACAGTATAATATTTATTAAAAAAAGATTTTATAATTTTCATATTAGATAGAAAGAGAATTCTTATGCCATACAAATAAAAAGTCATTTAAAACTTATATGTTAGAAAAAAGTCATATGTGAGATTTATATTTATACAAAAATCGAATTTAAAACTTATATATTAGAAAAAAGTCATATGTAAGATTTATATTTATATAAAAATCGATGGACGTGAAAGAAAAATTTAATTCTCATAATTATAAAACCCTTAAAAAAACGTTTGATTTGTGCTTTCAATGCAAGGACCAAGTAAAATTTTGACTAAACTAGTAAACATTATTAAAGAGAATAAATTATAGAAGTTGAAGTAAAACCAAATTTTTTTTGTAAGAAGTAAACACGCGCCTATAGAGGGTGGGGTTGGATGGACAAAGGATACCAAATGGTAAAGCTCCATTAGTGATATTTGGAATTTTAGACAAACATGAGTAGGAATAGGGCTATAGATGTGGGCCTGATGCCATGACACAGAAAGTAGAAAAAGCGTCAAAAAGAGTTTAATATTTGGTATTGACTCGCAGAGGCAAAAGAAAATCATCGTGACTCTGACTACGCTTATGCATTCTTGTGCCTTGTTTGGGAGTACTCATATTATCTTCCACATTTGCATTATTAGTGACAACTCCGATTAAACAATTCAGGAAACTGTCTAGAACTACATTAGATTTTTATGCACCCTATTCCTATGAACAACCTCACAATAACAACCATATTACCCTTTTAACTATGCATTGTAATTCAACATTTGCACCTGACAACTAGTAGTCTAGTACTGAAATATGTCCCACAGAACTGATACGGATAGCATTTTGTCTTGTATAAATTTATTTGGTACATGCCAATAACAGATTCTTAGCGTTTAATCTTACTAAAGATTGTAAACCATGCCACATCTGGTTTTGTTTGGTGGACATTAAAAGAGTTATGGATTTGGATAAAAGTTTAAAAGGTTTCCAAATTAAGGTTCAAAACAATATATGATATTAGTGTTTTAGTTCATCCTTCCATGGTATAGCTAGGAGGAAGTTCCAATTTAATTTTACATGGTTAAAATGTTAATAATAGTATTCACTTTTTCAGTATTATGATTTGCGAGTATAAAATTTTTTTTACTCCCTTTTAACAATTATCAGTTATCAACTTCCCTTCTTTTTAAGATAAACATATATTTATTTAGAAAATTGATAGCTGTTAAAGGGTCAAATTTCATGAGTAATATCTCTTCAAGTAATACAAAATGATTGGTTTTAAACCGTAGAGAACCCTGATAATCTTTTCAAATACCTTTACTTTTCCACAAGTCAGACTTATCGATGCACCCATTGAGATTTATACTTAATTCCCAATTCCAGGATCCTAAGCAACGAAAGAATAACAAGAGAAAAGTGACAAGTGACAAGTGAATCCAATTCCCCAATTTTTATAAACTAAAAGCTTAAAAAGACTACAAATGCTGTAGAAATTATCGGAAGGAAAGGAAGGGACCACAATCACTAAGGGCAACACTTAGTATAAAAAAGGACTCCATTTACGTTTTGGACAATCCTAGATGCAGCCGCTAAATACGTTTGCAACAATTTTATTCCATTGAATCGGCAAGCCCGCATTATGAAAACTAATATTTAATAGCTGCACAAGGTCGTTTAGCATATACTATAAAAGAAATTGCAACTTCAAGTCTAACGGACATAAAAACACATAACAAATAAAAATCTGTTTGGACACGACGGTCTTTTAAATTTTATCAAAAATTGTTGTTAATGTAAGAAGAAAACTTAAAGAGTCAAAATGTTGAATATTATTAGGCTGTCTGAATTAGAATTCAATCACTCCTTAAAATAAAATAATAACCCCAATCAACATACGAGTTTAAAAGTTAGAGAGCAATTATTATATTAACTTAAAATGGACTATCGCTATATGATACTGAAAAACCTTTTTTTATTCCTTACGACACCCTTGACATGGAGACAACTTTCTTTGCTCGAAGAGTATATGTTATTTCTATTAAAAAGATGACATATGCCTAATTTTTTTTTTCTCTCTGATGTTAATTAGCTTATCCTATTGAATAAATAGTACTCTTGGAGCATCTTAATAATTTCACTTGAGAGCTAATTGTTTACTATGGTTCAGGAGCAAGTGTTCCCTTTTTAAATATAGGAGGAAAAAAGGATTGAGGGAATTTGAAAAGAAGAAAAAAATATAAATAAGATGAAATTTTATTTTATTTTTGAAAAAAGGACCACAAAAGCACACTAAAAAAATCCCTATTTGGGTATACAGGTACTTAAATTAGAAAGGACATGAAATTTCTCACCTCGTAGCAGAGATCATTAGCAAAACAGGAAAAACGAAAAAAAAAAAAAAAAAAAATGGAATGGTAGGTGTTTCAATAAGAAGATCCAACACGCCAAGTTTTGTGATACAGATAGTTAGCTATAATAAGAAGAAAGACCAAACTTCCTTTGAAATTCATGGTAAAATAAAAATTAAATTAACTCTTGAAAACTAGTAAATCCAAATTAACATCTTAAACCAAAAAAAAAAAAAACTGTCAGAAACTAATAGACACAAGCATGCGCTGAATGGAACTTCCGTAACTTGGTTACCTCTTTTACCTTAGGAACGATGGAATAATAACTTTACGATAACTAATAGCAATGTTTTCATAAAAAAATGTATGTACAAGATAAAAGATGCAGCAGAAGTAATTTGAAAATGTAAGAGATTTTATACTCCAAATTCTAAGTTGTTTACTTCATGAAAGACATGTTAAGATGGTTTTTTTTAGGACAAATCATGTCAACAGTCACAGTGAAAAGGCATGAAGCTTCTTCCAACAAAAATATCATCAAGACTTCAAACCTCAAAGTCTCTCGTTTTGTCTCCTCCTCCAGCGTTGTATTTTGCTGGCTTTCATATTTGACAGCTTTTGGGGTAGTTTCGGGTATTGTTTGCTATCCTATTCATAAAAGGCCCGCCGTGCCTATTTAAGTGGTAGTTTCAAATTCCATTTTGTTTTGAGATTCCACAAGGCCCAAGCCTCGTGCTAGATTTAAGCCTAACTTTAATCACAACTCTTTAAGAAATATAGTAAATATTCTTAAGGATTAATGTTTCTCCTGAAATAACTTTATCTCATACTCACACATAATGTGTAGGACCATATGAAGAGAAAAGAGAGAAAAAGAAAACATGGATCCACATATTTTTATATATGTGTAGGACATAAAATTATTTCCTATAACATGAGAAATATAAATCTCATATTCTTAAGATGAAATTGTATATGAGAAAATGCAGGGATTGACATTAGGAGGGAAAAAACGAAAAAAGCTGAGTTTCAATAAAGATTTAACCAAACCCAATTAATTTTGCCCAAGACTCCGGGGGTGACTTAAGTGGTAAGCAAATTTGAACTTAGTAGTTGAAAAACTTTTGTAATGTCAGAGTTTCGAACCAATAGGAAAGGAGGAAAAGTCTCAATATTCAAACAAGAATTAGATAAAACTAATAATAATAATAAATTAAACATGTCCTCCAAAGAACAAGGGATGCTAAATAGTTTCCTCTTTCTACCTTACATTGAGGTGGAGGTTTGGATGAGTCTTCTATGCAGGTTCCACTTTCAATAGAAATATATACTTTTGGTTACACTTCCAACCTTCTTTTGGAATGAAAATGAAAATGAAAACAAGCACCCTCCAAATTGGTTTGTCCCGAATCTACGAGTGAATGAACCAACATTATGTCTTCATTGTTTCTCATTCGCTCCATTGACTTCCTTATTGGAGTGTTCAGCTCCACTATTATAAAAAACATTGGAATTGCCATCATTCTGCACAAAAGTGGAACATCAGCATAGATATCAAAGCAACCTAAATATACACACCCCAGTTAAAGGTAAATATATCTCAAAGCTTGAGCGAACCTTCAAACCCACCCCCACCCTCACCCTCAATTTTTATTTAAAAATGGAGTAAATGGGGGGAAAACGTGATGAACACAAATTATTAATTAAATCTTTTGGTCCACAAACTCAGGAATCTTTATTTTAAAAGTGGGGATATTCTTACTACTAGAAAAATTCACTACCAACCTACTACTTCCATAATCACCATTAGATCAACATTTTCTCTTTCTTCAAAAACTTTTTAGCATTTTCTCTCTTTGATCCAAAGGTAATTGTGGAGGTAGTGTGTTGGTAGTGGATATCTTTGGTAGTAAGAATATCTCCCCTCTTATTTTAATAGGTTAGTAAATGAGATAAGCAGACCAACATACCTTTTTAGGGAGACCATGAGTTGACGTAACTTCATGTAGCTTGTGCATAAGCATTTCTTCTTCCACCTATAAATCAGGACTCCAAAATTTAAGGAATTCAAATCGATGTAGATGACCACATGAATTTGAGTTTAATATAAAGCTCATCAAAGAAAAGTTCAACTGAAGTTAATTTATGTCTTGAAATTGAATATTTACACTTTCAACCCCCAAAAAAGAAAACTGTAACGTCATCAAAATCATCACCATCAAAAACTACGGGGAAATTCAACTGGGACAAAGGCAGGGGGATAAACACTCATCTTTTTTAAAGTTTGTCCTCTCTCCACCAATTAAACATGTTAGTAACACATGAAACTGAAAGATCACGAATGGTATCATAATCAAATGTGGCTTTAAACCAAGCCATCAAAAAGGGTGTTATAAATATATCTATCAGAAGATAAATCATATAAAGAAATGATAAAATCAATGGGATATAATGTTTTGTTATAAGATATTGAAATTAGATATCAAATGAACTAGATCAGTAGGATAATGAAATTTCCAACTATAAATTAGCATCAAAATGCAAAGACAAAGGAGCCATCAACTTAGGTATATAAGCATGGCACATGGAAGATAAATCAGTACGAAGGGTTATCTTGCTGCAAGAGATCAAAAATGGAGTAAACGGGGGCAAAATGTGATGAACACATATTATTAATTAAATCTTGTGGTCCACAAACTCAGGAATTTTTATTTTAATGGGTTAGTAAATGAGATAAGCAGATCAGCATACCTTTTTAGGGAGACCATGAGCTGACGTAACTTCATGTAGCTTGTGCATAAGCATTTCTTCTTCCACCTATAAATCAGAACTCCAAAATTTGAGGAATTCAAATCGATGTAGATTACCACATGAATTTGAGTTCAATATAAAGCTCATCAAAGAAAAGTTCAACTAAATTTAATTTATGTCTTGAAATTGAATATTAACACTTTCAACCCCCAAAAAAGGAAACTTTAACATCATCAAAATCATCACCATCAAAAACTACGGGGAAATTGAACTGGGACAAAGGCAGGGGGATAAACACCCATATTTTTTAAAGTTTGTCCTCTCTCCACCAATTAAACATGTTAGTAACACATGAAACTGAAAGATCACGAATGGTATCATAATCAAATGTGGCTTTAAACCAAGCCATCAAAAAGGGTGTTATAAATATATCTATCAGAAGATAAATCACATAAAGAAATGATAAAATCAATGGGATATAATGTTTTGTTATAAGATATTGAAATTAGATATCAAATGAACTAGATCAATAGGATAATGAAATTTTCAACTATAAATTAGCTTCAAAGTGCAAAGACAAATGAGCCATCAACTTAGGTATATAAGCATGGCACATGGAAGATAAATCAGTACGAAGGGTTATTTTGCTACAAGAGATCAAAATCAAATGAGCTAAAATCACCGATTAATTAATATAGGGCCAGAAATTATTATTAACCTCCAAATAGAAAGTACTTTTCTCTCTTATAAGCATCTAATTGCAAGTTGTCATTGTCACTAGAAAATGCAGTAAAGCCTATAGCATGTCGAATTGCTTATATACTACCTATACCGCAGGGTTACATAAGATGTGTCCAATGGAGGGTAAAGTATGTTAATGTAGGGGTGCTCATAGTGACAAGGGTAGAGACCCAAGCACAGTAGAGGTTTCCCATGGTGTGCATAGGGGGGGTGTGTGGCCAAGATGGCTCTGCAGAGGGGCAGAGTAACAACATAGGTAGAGAGTTGAGAAGAAGATTTGCCCCCACCATGTCTGGGGGGTATTTAAAGAGGAGAGCCCTCTCTATCATGGGGGAGCGAGCTAGTCAGTCTCATGCTCTGTCTCATCAAGTCGTGTCTTATCCTGAGATAAGACATGCTGCCCACTGTCAATGTACAGGGGCAGTAGTGCAAGGAAAGGGAGATGTCTCAGTGGTGAGCCTATATGGCTTGTCATAGGTGCCCTCTAGAAGGTTCTATATATGGCTTTAAGAGATTGGACCCAGATGGTGGGCCTAAGGTGAGTATCCAAAACGGAAGTCCCTCAGTTTGGTAGCTTACGGAGTCAGGGTGTCAAGATGTATAGCAGCTTAGGCAGGTTACTCGTAGTGTGCAGTGTTCTAAGTAGGATACGATTTAACCGACCAGTATTACTTCGACCTTCATGAGTTGTTTATTTGTTGTCATCGAGTATGAATTATCTGGTTGTCGATGCTTGAGTGCTTCAAGGAAATCTTCTATTACGGCTTGCAATTGTGTTGTGTTGAATTTGTGTTGACAACCAAAATAAAAAGTCTTGATCATCTTATAAAATAAAGTCAACAGAATTGCAGATCCGAGCTTCGTCAGAAAATAAAGTTATAGATGAAAGCTTCTGGAGAAGATAATGTGTTTCAAATAGAGAGTGATGGAGATTTTAATGATAAATATATATATTCTCTTCTTCAGCAATAAAACTCATTGGTGATATGAATGTATGATAAATAATGCCCATGTTGAATCAAGCAGCATGGAAATTTTAACAGCTGGAATAAAAATATCCTGACCATATGATAATGATGAAATAATGTTGACAGATTTGTAGATGCAAGCTTCTTGAGAAAATAATGTTGTCGATGAAAGCTCCAAGAGAGGATAATGTGTTCCAAGAGATAGAGAGAGATCATGGAGATCCTGATGATAAATATATACATTCCTTTCTTCAACAATAAAACTCGTTGACGAAAGTAATGTTGTAGATGAATAATACCCAGTGACTTGGGACTTTGATGTCTAGTTACTCAGATATGTTACTCTATGATCATGACCTGCAATAGCTAAAATAATAGCATTTAAATGTCAATAAAAATGTGCCTAGATGGGACGTTTTCCAGACGCCAGCAATCTAGGACTTTTGCCAAGGGGTAGCACATCTCGGACTTTGTTTACCGGGGATGAGAATCGTCTTGACCTTCATAATTACCGGGGTTGAAAATCGTCTCGGCCTTCGTAATTACCGGGGGTGAAAATCGTCCCGACCTTCCTAGTATACCGGGGGTGAGAACCGTCCTAGCCTTCGTAATTACCAGGGGTGAAAATCATCTAGGCCTTTATAGTATATCGGGGGTGAAAACTCTCATGGCCTTCATTGTATACAATGGGAGAACCATCTCGACCTTCATTGATTGTTTAAGCAGCTCATATGAATCTCATAATCCAATGAGAGGACATAGATGAACAAAAAGAATCATATATATGACGAGATGTTATTGCTGAAAATAAAACCTGACCATGTGAGTGTCATTGGACACTTGGCATGCAAGTGTTGGTTGAATAACTTTTAGTATGTTGATGAATGTTGATCTTCCAGCTGGAAGAGCAGAAGGGCACGTCTTCCTGTTGGGAGGGCCGAAGGGCTGATCTTTATGTTAGGAGGGCGAAAGTGCAGGTCTTCCTACTGAGCGGGCGGAAAGGCTGATCTTCCAGTTGAGAGGGAGAAAGGGCATGTCTTCCTGTTGGGAGGCGTAAGTACTGGTCTTTCTATTGGGCGGACGGAAGGGTTAGTCTTCCTATTTGCTTAGTAGTGTGGCAGTTAGCATTCCGACTATCTTTTCTGACTTGTGGGTTGAGTATTTGCTTATAATCATTTATCCTATTAGTGAATTGATTGACAAACCATGGATTTTGCTTTCCATATTAAACTTTCTTTAAAAAAAAAAGTTTTTCGCGGGACCCGCCTTAGAAGGGATGGAATAAATGAGAAAACCTTGGTATTAATTAATACCAAGTCTTTCAAAAAGTCATGCCACTGTTGACGGCTTTCATGAATCTTTTTTCATTTACTTTCGTGTTGGGTCTCAATTTACATATAAAGGTCCTTAAAGGTATTTACTTGAATACTCTGTGGGTCAAATAGTGGTGCAATCAATAACCGCCATGTGTCATTATCACTTCACAAACACCTAACTATCATAGTAATGAATCATGTGGATGTCGTATCTCCAAATTGAAAAAGATTTGGGGTTGGTGAAAACCCACAAAAGTGAACACCGGTTTAGAACATCGAATGTGAGTTCAACGATGGATCTGATTCGGATTGTGAGGTTGTGGTAATTATTTCCACGGTAAATTTAAGTTGGGCGGTTGAGGTTGAGGCTACCCTTTAGTTGGAGTTGAGGTTGGGTGGTTGCTTGATCGGGTTCTTGACCGACCGATTATGCGGAGGGGCTGATAGAAGAAACACTATAGAGCCAATAGGAATGTGATTGAACTCGGCTGGCATCCAGCTTGGCGGGCAAAAATATGGCTCTGACCTGAACGTCATGTGTTAATGATCGGCAAAGGGTCGATCAGCAAAGAGCGACCTGCGAAAGGGAGACCGACAGAAGGACGAAACGACCAGAAGAGTGGAGACCACCAAGAGGGCGACCAGAAGAATGGAGACTGGAAGGAGGGAAACCGTTCAAATCGAAACCAACGTCCGTCCGGTATTGATGCTTGGTCTAAACTATGCTCTCTTCGGGGTTGAGGAAAGCTTCTCGCGCATGCTTGCTCATGTGTTTCTGGTGACTGAAACGCGTAGGTTCAGGTGTAGGGTAATGTTGCAGGTTGGTCAAAATTTGATCTTCAGATGAGGTTGGCGATCTGATCATGTCTCATGTCTGAATGCGACTAGGGACTGCAACTATAGGTTGGTTTCTCTGATCGGTGAGTGGTTGGCAAGATGAAGTTTAGGTCGACAAGCTGTTGACTGGGCGAATAGATGTTGGTTCTTCTTGCATTGTTGATCGAGGATCTCGCTGAGTTTAGAAAGCACTTGGGTCGAACTGGGTTGATGTCTCTCGATTGAAGGTTGAGGTTGGTTCGTAACTCTGGTTAATGCTGGTTTTTTGGAAATTTTTTATTTGCCTTCTGATATTCTGAAACGTGTTCAGGCGAAGTGCATATCGAGCAAACTTTCTGGAACTCTAACTTTTTCTTCTTCTTTTGTAGATCTGGAATATTCTTGCATTCTTTCCATTTTTTGCTAGATTTGGATTTCAGTGTTCTTTTCTTTTTCTGGTAGATCTGGGTTTTGGAGTTTTTTCATGGCATTCTGATGGTGATGATTATGTTATTCTGGTCGTCTGATATTTCATTCTGGTTTGGAAGACGAAATTTTTTCCTTGACAAGAAGGAACTCCAGCAAAGTGATAACGTCGGTTGCATCTCCATGAGTCTGGTTTTCCTTTTTCTTTGAGTGATATTCCTGTTCCTCAGAACAGAAGAGTTGTTGTCTTTCAACATCTCTAAGTAGAGAGGAGAGAATCGAAGTTTATCGGTCCTACAGATGGTGCCAATGACCGCAAGGGTACATAAAGGGGTGCTCATAATGACAAGGGTAGAGACCCAAGCACAGTAGAGGTTTCGAATGGTGTGCATAAAGGGGATGTGTGTGGGCGTGATGGCTCTGCAGAAGGGCAGAGTAACATCATAGGTAAAGATTGGAGAAGAAGATCTGCCTTCTCCATGTCAAGGGGGTATTTAGAGAGAAGAGCCCTTTTCTATCATGGGGGAACGAGCTGGGCAGTCCCATGAGCTATCTCGTCAAGCCATGTCTTGTCCTGAGACACAACATACTGCCCACTGTGAGTGGTGAGTCTCTATGGCTTGCCATGGGTGCCCTCTATAAGGTTCTAGATGTGGGCTTTAAGAGATTGGACCCAGCTGGTGGGCCTAAGGTGAGTATCCAGAACACTACCTAAATCGTTCAAAAAGAAGAATGCAAATTATCTTTATCAAACAAAAGCAAAATAGTAACGGCCTTCCCTTATCAATTCAAAACAAATGAAGATCAAGTCTAAAAATGTGCAAGTAATGCAAAACTTCAAGCCTTGAAAACCAAATTATGAATTAGAGGAATTCAATTCATGGGGAGAAAGGATGTAAGAACCTGAAGTTTTTGCAATTCATGCAACATTGATCTATGTGCTTCCTTAAGGATCTCATTCTGCTTATCCATATGCCTGTTCACCAGAAACATACTATCAAAAACAGTTCGAGTAAAAGAAGAAGTTGAAGCTAAATCAAATTATGAAAAACATTGGTTGAAAGAACTATACTTCAATAACTCTCCAGAGTGTCTAGGGTCAAAATTTCTAGGTTCCATGCTGATAATAATAATTGAAGATCAAATCTGAAAAATAATCACTCGGGAACACGCACAGAAGAATAACAATCGCACACGTTCTCAGATGTTCTACAAAAGCAATCAGCCTCACAATCAAACTCACCGATTTTGAAATATGAGGAACTTATTGCTACCAACCCAATTAGCATCAACAAAAGCCGAACTTGAATTTGAACAATCACTTCTCTTTACTTTGAGTTGTGCGTGTTTAAAAAAGGAAATTAGGGTTTAATTGAACCGGGTAAGAAAAATTTTATTTTGCTATACTTTCTGTAACGTCTTTGTTCTAAAAAAAATACTTTAAGGTTTCACATTTTTTATTATGCTGCATAAATTGTTTGTTTGCCACGTTAACATAAAAGTGAGTGAGTCTCACTGATTTTTTCTTCTCTCAAATTCTTGCAAAAACAAAAATGTTTTTTTTCATACTTTAAAGGACTAAAGACATCTTATGTTATATAAGAAGAATTTCTTCTCCTACACATACAATAAATATGTGGGTTCTACTAAAAAAAACTTATATTTTCTTTTTTTTCAATGAGATATCTTTTCTTTTTTTCAATGAGATTCACATGTTTGTTGCGTGTGTATATATGTTAAGGATTTGATTATCTTGATCTTATCTTTCAAACAACTTTCCTAGTCATCAGATTAGTTGTTGTCTAGTCATCACATTAATTGTTTTTTATTATTATTCACCATATTAGTTATTGTCTAGTCATCACAGCAATTGTTATTTATTTTTATTTATTGTTTAAATTCTAAAGTGTAACAAACATCAATATATATTTTGACTTCTGCCATTATGCAATATACGAAATATTCTTCACTGCAAACAAGACTTCAAAATTAATCTAGTATATACGGGTATAACTATGTATAATTGTGTATGAGAATATATTCTTCTCATATAACATAAGAACTCTTAAACCCTACTTTAAATACCCCAAACAGGTTGTTACCTTAGAACTAGAAGGAAACCCTTTTCAAGACTTCAAAATTAATCTAGTAAACTTGTATTAGGGCACGTTTGTGTGTTTTTTTCAAGATTATTTTTTTAATTAAAAGGTATATAAAAAAATTATGATTAATCATATTCCGACACGGACACATTGTCCTCTTCCTTTTTTGTTTCATTAGAACACAGACATACGTATTTTCCATTAGCAGTGTTCAAAATCCATAATTATAGATCCAAAGCCGAAAGAAAAATCACAGTCCAAAATCATTAAAGTACACAACAGAGAAAGGCCCACAACCATGGTCATTTTGGCAGAAAATGTCTTGAATCTTCAGGAATCCAATGGTTGATGAGAGGGTCAAGGAAGCATGCACACTATGATTACAGAGTCTAGGAGGGACCCAAAGCATCTTATCCGTTACGAAAGGCATTGTCATTACGATCTTTGTAATAATGGTTTCTACTGTTAATCATGGACTGGACACTATACTCATGCCAAAATTTCTCTACCATCATGGCTTAGCGATTTTAAACTTTAAAGTGCTATTATAGGAACACATTGTCCCTCTCTGGCTTGTTAAGGATAGAAGCCACTAATTATATCATTGTAACATTTTAAATACTTCTGCTTTAATTTCTTGGGGGAATAATAAGGATGTCTGGTTTATAATTAAAATCGAAACAATCATATCTTAAGATAAATAGAAAAGTAGAGCAATTTTGATCAAGTAGCCATTATTTTTCTTTGAACAGCATAATTATAATTAACAGATTGTGCTATACATAGGTTATGCAGTAGGCAGAGGACACGAATTTTGTGAAAACTTTTTTCGATTGATTAATTCAAAGATGTGATATTATCAAATTATTTTATGTACGAAGACAGTATTAGTCAAAGATGGTTTCGGTTTTGCACCTCGGATCTATATATGAATACATATCTTAGAAATAAGTCAAATAATAAATAAAATTATCAGTTTTCATGTGTTTTCAATAATTAAAAATTAAGTGATAGATATATTATTAATGCATTATATAAAAAAGTGTTAAATCGTAGCAAGGAGAAGTCACATTTTCTAACAGCTTTGACTCATTTAAATGGAAACTATAACAATCGTGTAATGTTGCAGATGGATACATTTATCACAATCTGAGAAAAAGCTTTTTTGGTAATATTTATTTTTCAGAATATTATAAACACAACTTTAATGGAAACAAAGCATGTAATTGAAGATGAATCATGATTAAGGATAAAGTCAAAAGAAAGGGACCAAACGTCATAAAGCTTCAAAGCGTAAGTAAGAGTGAAAAACTAAGCAAATTAAACAGTCTAATTAAAGAAAAGAGAGACAATAAATTTTTGCTGTCGTATATCCTTTTTATTCTCAGAATATTATTAGTGATATGCTTATATTTATATATAAAATGGACCCATAATTTTAAAGTGATATACAAATATGGTAGAAAAAATATTAATATTATTATATGACTTTAAAACAAGCATATGTTATATGAAGTGTTACTAAAATTAATCCGACCAGACCAATCAAACCGATTGAATTAATAAGAATTGGTCCGGTTTAATCAATTAAATGGTCATGTATGTAACCTGATTAACAACGGGTGAATTGTTCAAAAATTGAGTTCAACAATGTTAACTTAGTATTGATTTTCTAATTGAATCATTTTTTGAAAATTGCAACAAAATATTCTACCATAATTATATTTCTAGGATTTGCACTTTTCACATAAGGAAATGTGAGTGAAATATCAATCACTAAATTAAATTACTTTAGTTATCTGGTTAAATCAATAATTCATTGGTAGATATTGAAACGATAATTGTTTTGAATTTAATAAGATTAATAATAAAAAAATTATATTCTCATATTGCATGAGATTCATCTCTTATGTTATATTTATGTAAAAAAAATTGTCTCTTTTTTTTATTCTTTTTATAAGTTTATTTTTTTCTAAAATTACTTTAGATAACTTTGTCTGATGTTCATTGAAATGTCGTTGTTTTAGAGCAGAAATCATGATGTATTTGTAATTTTAATTATTTCAATATTATAATAGTCTAAAATAATATTAGATTTTTTTTCTTTTTTTTTAAAAAAAAAAATTGGTAGCCTTTATTTTTTTACTTCATAATATAAAATAATTTATCTGGAAATAAAGTCCTTAGTAATATGTATATAAGTATTTAATTAAGAATAAGAATACACTATCTGACATTACCGTATATCATAGGTCCCACAGCTATATTATGCTTTTATTGCCACCTCGTTTTCACAACGAAGAGAATAACATGCATTGGTGGAATGATTCTACCGAGAAGCTTATATGAGATATGAAGCTACAAGAACAAATAAAAAAACCATTCAGCAAATAAAATAAAATAAGGGTTTTATGAGTATAATGTTGTAGGATATAAGAAAAGTTTTCTACTCTCACAATAAAAAAGAGAGAGAAAGTAAAATGATGAAATAGAAAAAATAATATGTGGACCCTACCTCTTAATTGTGTGTGTAGAAAAGTTTTATTAGGTTATGTAACATGATATTAATAATACCCATAAAATAACGGAAAATGTTAGGAAAAGTTCATTTGGTGCAATAATTTTTTTATTTTTTGTTTATAGTGAGACTCATTAAAATTATGTGTGTAAGAGATTTTCTAACCTCATATTAAAATGAGAGATGTAAAACCCATAAAATAATAAGTTTACTTAGGTCGAGTACAAACTTAAAAAATTGTATTTCGCTTCTTATTTTTGTATTTTTTAACAAGTAGCTTGGCAAAACCCATTGTTATTGGTCCATCACAGGTTTATATTCTAGAAAGTTAAAAAATGGGCAAATAATTAAAGGAAATAAAGAAAAGAATTCTTAATCCTAATACAATAGCAATGAACCAAGTATTAGGTCCCAAAAAGTTTCGAAATTTCACTATCCACAAATAAACTTGATAAATAAAAGACAAAATCTACGGGTATAATATTTACTCTCTTTCTACTTGCTACCACTGTGGATACACACCACTTCTCTGATATGCTCTTATTCTTTTGTGTACAGTGATATACTTACCTCAAAGGTATCTCCTCGGTGGATATATTGAGAAAATCCTTAGATACATGATCAATCAACTAATCACGGATTAAACATCTTTATCCCTATGATAGAATACACATGTGCACACACACCACCACTATTGTGTGCACACAAGAGTTACTCTCTTATTACTTGTTATCAATGTGTACCACTAATCACAAACTAAACATCTTTATCCCTATGATAGATACACATGTGCACACACACCACTATTGTGTGCACACACACCACTATTGTGTGCACACAAGAGTTACTCTCTTATTATTTGTTATCAATGTGCACTCGTACCACTCCTCAAGAGTTACTCTCTTATTATTTGTTATCAATGTGCACTCGTACCACTCCTCTGGCTACGCTTTTATTCTCTTGTGTACAGAGTGCATACATACCACTCTTCTTGTTACGCTTTTATTCTCGTGTATAGTGATATACTTTCTTCAAAGACGTGTCCTCCTCCTAGATACCTTGAGAAAGTCCTTAGATCCATCATCAATCCACTAATCACGCACTAAACATCTTTATCCTTTGAAATAAATTTAAGGAAGAATATAAATTCATTTATTAGGTATATATCAAATTTCACTGTAAAAATATATCATAATCAACACAGCAGTTTTTAAATAAACCTACTTTATTCAAAGCCAAATGTACTACAATCTTATTGAAAACTACATCATTACAACTTTGGGGATATAACCCTTCTCAGAAACACAAGAAAGTGGAAACAGCAATGACAGAATAAAAAAGGCAAAAATAACAGAGCTCTATATAACTTAAAATAAATATTTTTAGTGTGGGCATTGGGGTTCAAATGCAAGAGGACCAACACTGTAGAGCAAGAAAGGAAGCTTGTGATAAACAAAGGGCTTCTCAGGCTTGAGGAGAGCACCAGTAACACCATCATGGAAATTAGAGGGCTTAAGGCCAGTGGGTGAAGTGACCAAAAACACCTTGCACTTGTGAGCTCCAAAAGTGGTAATGCTCTTAGGGGCTTGCAGGTAGAAATAGCCGTTCTTATCAGTCTTGACTGTTTGGACCAACGGATACCTGGTGTTGTTGCATTCCAGCTTTACAACGGCACCTACATTCTCAAAAGAAACGCTTAAACTTGTCTTTTAGCCACTTAGTATACATAACATTTGTCATTACTCATATGCACGAGGTCCTAAAACAATTGTCCAAGACTCAGCAAACATGCAGCCTCAAAAGCCTCAAAAGACAAGATATAGCAACTTTACCTTACTGCTATTGCTAGTTTGCTACACTATCTTTTCTCCTTTTATGGATAAATAAAAAAAGGAACACAAAATGCTACACAGACTAAAACAAAGACAATGAATGATGTTTAAATCTGGTTTTGGTTTAATAAAAACATTTTGGTTCTGTTTATAGTCTTAAAGATTTAACTACGAAACATTTTAAGCAAAAACTGAAAAAATAAAATTGCAGATCTGCGAGTAATGCACTTGTCTAGGTAGATCGTTTTCAACAGCACATAGAGAGTTAAATGCAGTTAAAGAGGGTAAGTTTTTTTTAACCAAGCTCTTGAGAAGTGTAAAGAGACTAACCAAGAACAGGAGTGGCTCCCAAGAGGGTGTCAAGACCAGCATATTTGCAAGACTTGTTGAAAACAACACCTTCAACTGCTACAAAGCTTCTAGGGAAGGGATGCACTGGAGGGTGTGCAGGTGGATGAACAGGGGCAGGAGGGTAATGCGGATGAGTAGGGGGCTTAACTGGGGCATGTGTAGGAGGAGTATAGTGATGGGTTGGAGGCTTAGCTGGAGCTGGTGTTGGAGGGTGAACAGGAGGCTTAACCGGAGCAGGAGTAGGGGCCGGAGGGTGGTGGTGGTGGTGGTGGTTGTGATGTGGTGGGTGAGCAGGTGGGTGGGTTGGAGGGTGAACAGGGGCTGGAGTAGTAGAGGGAGGCTTAGGGTGGTGGTAGTAAGGTGGAGCTGCTACTGGGGGATGAAGAGGAGGATGTGGAAGAGAATCAAGCTCTTGTGCAAACACATTGAATGAACTCACTAAGAGGATGAAAAATGCCAGGGCTTTGGCCATTGCTCACTGCAAGAGTTTTAAGAGTGAGAAAGAGGAAGTGATGTTGGTGACTTGGTGCTGTGTGTGGGTTCAGAACAAATGAGGTAATTTATAGGAGCTGAAGCTGAGACTCTGAGGGGTTAGAGTCTAGGGAAACGGCTATTTGAGACTGTCAGAATTGAGAAAGAGGGAACAGGGAAGGGACCACATTTGGTGAAATTTGAAGTCATGTTTGAGATCAAAATCAATGAAGACCCTACTAAATAAACTTGCTTTGGGGAGTTCAGGAAGCCTCCAAAATATTATGGATTTAACTTTCTTTCAAGTTTTATAAAAAAATTTAAAGACCTTTTCGGCTTTTCCGATTGGTTAATCCAAAGATGTGAGAAAATCTAATTATTTTATGCACGAATACCCATATAAACCATAGGAGGCACGAATACCCATACAAGCTTAACTTAGATACTGAGTAAAATTATCGGTTTTCCGTGTGTTTTCAATAATTAAAAATTAAGCGATATTATATAAAAAGAGTGTTGAATCCTAGCAAGTAGAAGCCACCTTTTCTAACATCTTTGTTATTTAAATGAAAACTATAACATTGGTGTATATTATCGATGGATCCATTTATCTAAATCTTAGTAAAATCGTTCTCTTTTTTTTTTTTAATATTATAAACAAAAATTTAATGGATTAAAAGATGTGATAGACGATGTATCAAAAAAAAGATGTCATAGACGATGAAGGATCATTAACCAACATAAGCCACAAATCAAAAGAAATTTGCATTATGCAAAGATTTGGGAAAATTTTCCCATACTACCGCAGGCAAATAAGTGGGTATGGGACGTATGTCGGATTTTGATAAAAATAAGAAAAAAATATTTGCCCTTTTATATGATAGTTATTTTAATTTAAATTAATATTTTTTATTTAATATTTAAATTAAAAAATTCTCTTACTTTCTTTCACCACGATTTTTGTTTTTCTCATTATAAATACATTAATTTTAATTAAAATGATACAATTTTATGTTTTTTAAAAAGATAAATATTATTGGCTATAAAAAAAGATAAATATTGATCCCAAAAAATAAAGAAATAAATTCATGTCATGCGATGTGAATAGAGGTGTAAATGACTTTTACTTCGTCAATGTTTCTACATGAAAACAATTAGAGTCTGCACACACTGACCAAAAACAAAGGCATCTCACTCTTTGTTTTAGTACCACAAAGAATGTATTGGCAAGAATATTAAATCACAAAGGAGCGATCATATCCCATCTAAGTTAGAATCAAACTCACCCCTCTTTACTTAGCCTTCTGGTTCTGTTATACAAAATGTACGAGATGCATTTCATATTTGGTCTCTTTCTTGTTTGATTTTTTTTTTGCCAATTATGTTGATTGGATGACTCGTCATCTTCAAGTATTATTCATATGGTAAGAATTTTTGTATAATCATACTGTCTTGGACTTTGTGCAATGTGAATTAATTATTGAACCACTTAATCAAATACACTTTACAAAACTGTTTTAAAATTCTTATATTCTACGCAGTAATCGACAACGTTGATTATGTAGCTCGTCATCCTCAAACGTTATCTATATCTTAAAAGTCTCCGTGTAGTCATGTTATTTTGGACTCTGTGCAATGTGGACTTAATTTCAAAATAGAGTCTACTTTATCAATTTGAGGTAGGATCCTTTGACACTGGTGTCAAATTTAAAGTTTGACACCTCATCTGAGAGTCGTTAGATCAAAAAATATCAACGACTCTGATTTGTAAGCATGTGACACCCTTGATATTTTTTGATCTAACGGCTCTCAGGCGAGGTGTCAAACTTTAAATTTGACACCGGTGTCAAAGGATCCTACCTCTATCAATTTATCTATAATTAAAACACATTTGATCAAATCTATTTTAGATTTATTGTAATATGTGCAACGATCGACAACATTGATTGTGTGGCTTGTCTTCCACAAGTGTTGTTCATTCGTAAGAGTCTTTGACCAACCATGTCATCTTAGACTCCGTGCAATGCAAATTTATTTTCAAAACAAAATTCTTTATCAACTTCCTTATAATCAAAATACGTCTTAATAAATATGTTTTAAACTTTCAAAAATTACGCGACGATATTCAACGTTGATTGTGTGATTGGCTATTCTTCATAAATATAAATATATATATATATATATATATATATATATATCCATGCTATCTTATACCATATGCAATTATGAGTTAATTTTCAAAAGCATAAATTTTTCGTTTAAAAAGACACAGCTTTGAGTTTCTCATTGCATCAGGGGTTAAAGCTCATATAAAACTTTTATAATTTTATTTTATTTTTTGTAAATAATCTTATTATTCATTTATTTTTTTTGGGTCAAACAAATACTCTAAAATTATTAAAAATTTGCACAATTAATCTATGGTAACTAATTTTTAAATAGATGTATTAAGGATGTTGTGGGATTAAGTTTTCTCCATTTTCTATGCATAATCAAACTCTCAAACCCTGGTTCATATTTTTAAAAGACCAATTTGCAAAGTAAAAATAGCTTTCCAATTTTCCCAATCAAATAAAATTGGTGGTGACTCTATGTTTTATATTTAAAATAACTTCAGATGTTTACAGTAATCATTGCGTATCACACAAACAACACATGCATGACCCACAAGATAATGCCACGTGATATTATCTTGATTGTTCATCCTACTGTACCCATCTCCCAAAACCCCTATATATAAATCCCCAATTTCGAGGGTTCTGTGTTTCCCCATTCACCTACCCTTTTGGTTTATACCCCAATTTTGAGCCTAATAGAGTATACTTTTAACATTTTCACTCACTCTCTTTATCTACCCTTTCGTTATACATTTCTTGCTTTGTAAAGATGAAAGATAGTTCAAGAATAGATCATAAGATTAACATGGGACAATCTGTATCTAATAAAAAAGGGGGACAATCTTGATTTTGCCACGTGACAGAGTGTAGTGAATTCTATTGTTAGACACTGCAAGACTTTTTCCCCTATGAAATAAGTCATGTGTCTAGGTCTGTCACAGTGTGTCACGTGGCAAAAAGTGTCTCGTTGAACCTAATAATAAGACTTTGATAGTGACTAGCTGAAAATTAGTTTGTGAAATGTGATATTGTAATATAATTTGATAAAATATGGCAAAATGGTCATTAGCCCATAATACTACAAATTTTTTAAATTAAAATTAACCGTGATTAGAAATACTCTCTTTGAGAATGGGATTAAAAAGGTCATGATGTTCAAACAATAAGTACGAATAGATGCTTAGTAGATTTTTTTATTCTTGGAATATTATATGAATATTAGTATTTGACATCAATAACGAAAGAACTTAGTTGATTTTCACCAAGTTAAAAAAAAAGTACTCGCAGCAAAGCATGGCAGTTAATGTTGGATTTTGCTGCCGTTTTTCAACTCAATTAAATTATCTTATTAGGTGATGTTTTTATATTTATATGAAAGGGAGTGATCGGTTTACAAAAAAATTTTATAAATTTTTGCAAATTGCACTATGTTCTTTGAGAGAAAATAGTGTAATTTGTAAGAGTTTATAAAAAAAAAATTAGTAAATATAACATGCCCCTTATATAAATTGCAATGTTTGATAATACATGAATACATTTTTAAAGTTATATGCAAAATGTGATGAAATTTAAAACATAAAATTCTACCAAAATAAAAAATACGAATATCGATTATGTGACTTAAGTATATGACCCTAAATACAGGATAAGAATAAGAGATGCGTCTACCAAAAAAAAAAAAGAATAAGAAGATGCAATCTGACATTACGGCACAAACTATACTTTGCTTTTATTAAATGGAACATTGTTTTCACAACGAAGAGAAAAGCATGCATTGCTGGAATTATATCAGATAAGAAACTAACAAGAAAAAAAAAACCACACAGCGAATAAAATAATAAAATTACTAACGAATAATATGGGGTTACTGGTTAAAAAATATAAAAGTTATATTAAAAGTGGAATATTTAATATATTACAAACTAAGTTAGTTTTATTTTTTTTAATACTTCTTATTTTTAATTTTTAGCAAGTAAGTAAATATAAGAATGAACATAATTTTATTTACTAGTTGTATATAGAGTAAAGTCTCTTTTGGGTTCCTAACAAAAACACGATCCTCATTTTAGTCCCTTATAAAAAAAAATAAGCCTCTGGTCCCTATGAAATTCAAAGTGGACCTATTTTAGTCATTTTGAGGGACTAATGTGGATTTTTTTTGAATTTGCGATGAATCACGATTTCAACTAAAGGAGTCCAATTTAAATTTCTTAGGGACCTTGGGATTATTATTTTTTTGTAAGAAACTAAAGTGAGGACTGTATTTTTTATTACGGACCCAAAAGAGACTTTACTTTTTTTTTGGAGTTACCCAACCCTAATTACCTCTTTGAGGCGAGCTGGCTCCCTCTGGTATCCCCACAAGCTTCGACTCTTTGAGCCGGCTATGAGACTAATCCGAAGTGTGGGGGTCAGTGATGGCTAAAGGTTCAGCCCCCTCCCCAAAAATGCATTCAGAGGAAATCGAACACGTAACCAACCCCACTAACTCAGCGTCAAGGAACCAACTGAGCTGCACCCATTGGGTAAAGAGACTTTACTTTTGTATATATAATTTCACACTAAAAAAATCCGATAATGGATGTGCATAATCCTTTTTAAAATAAACTCCTTTATTGCGAGCCAAATGTATTACAATCAATCTTTGTGATATATAATTGAAGCTTAGAATTACATCATAATAACTTTAGGGATATAATCCTTCTCTAAAACCCTAGCAATGGAAAGAACAATGTCCAAAAAAGGTAAAAATAATAGAGGTCTATATAATACCTTCAATTGCTACAATGCTTCTAGGGAAGGGAGGATCCTGATGAGGGAGTAGGAGGGTAAAAAATATATAGATTGGACCAAGCAGAACACGAGCTTGTGGAGGAGGAGACTG